GGGGGGGGGGGGTGGCGTCAGAAAGTTTTGCGTTGGGAAGGGTTGAAGGAGGCCCGATCCGGGTCTGCTTGTTCCAGACGCTTCCCGGCAGGAAGCCGAGGCGAATTTTGTTGATCTATACCCTAATTTGTGTGTGCTTGACAGGCTTAGAACGAGCCATCTTGCAAGAGAAGGACCGACGGTCGAAGTCTAACTGTCTTTGGGCTACAGTAATGGGCAGATGGCTTCCGGCTCTGTGGCGCACAGCTGTGCACTGGCCTCGCATCGTTTGATCTCCGATTTGTTTCGAGGATTGCGTGTGGTGTTGGCAAACAGAAAGGATGCTACGCATGAGGTGCGATAGCTCTTGCTCGGAGTGATCAATGGCTCACTTCCAAATACTTCCAAGATATTCTAAGCATGTTTTCTGGCACTCGAGGTGCCAAAGGCACTGTCGCAGCATCAGTTTCAAGCTGAAGAGCGCGCAGCACTTCATGGCCTGAGGCGGGCGATTTTCTCAAAACACGTGCCAAACGCAACACAGAAGGTTGATGAGCGAGGGCAACCTGTTCCTTCGAAGAGTCCCCTCCAGTTTCTGTGCATGCTGTCATAGGCAGAGCATGGCCTTGTTGAAGTGCGACCCACGAATCGAGAACTGTACGTGCAAGAAGCACTATGCTGAGTACTGGGGGAGTAAAGGGGGTTTGACGGTGATTCTTGGGGTCGAGGAGCTTGGAGGTTTCGATATGTATGCGCTTTGTGACCATGTAGATGGTTGTCTTGCACACTGGCCGAACCACGAGTTTTTCCAAGACAGTCTCATTTTTCCTTGTCACCAACATGCTTTCACAGTTTTCCCGACCAACAGCTTCAAAACATGAATGCAGGTCGCAGACAGAGCTGAACGGAAGTCCATGCAGCATCGTGAGGTACGACAAGGATGCCCATGTCTTTCGCCATTCTCGCCTAGTCCCTCATAATCTTCAAGCTGCATCTTCGAGTTTAACTGAAGCTGTGCATGTGGGTTCCATGTGGCCTCGTGTTTTACTGCATGAGGAGTCGCGTCGATGGCTCGTCCGCCTCGATATTGAGTCGGAGGAGAGCGTAGGAATTCTCATAGAGAGTTGATCTAAAGTGCAGTATGTATACTTCCCGGCAGGCGTCTGAGAAGTATCAGGGAGATTCATCAAAATAGAGTATATCGATGAAGTACTAAGTAGCACCCGGTTGATGTTCTTTCGAAACGAGAAATGCTGGACTTTGCTTCTTCCAACAGCAGGAAGAAAGAACCACGTTTTGTTTTGTGCGGTACACAACAAAGGCTCGCGTGTGCAGAACACAGACAAGCCGCACCCCGTGCCGCATTGCTACATCCGATAGCATCATGGACCCGCATGTCCATGCAGGACAATGAAATCTTGGTCTCCGGTGCGAACCTTCTCCCGCTCTGGTTGCCAGAACAGGCTGCCAAATGCTGCCAAGTCTCTGAAGCCTCGTAACTGTCGTAGCTTCATAAGGTTGTAGCGTTGTACCAGGTTGCGGCTTCTCCAAGTTGTGATCTCATGTACTGTCCGTGGAGGATTCCATGCCAGAAGGAAAGGTTGGCAAGGGGAATGCGGTGAAGGGGGAAAGTGGAGCGGATGTGGCTGCGGAGGCAGAAGTAGTTGAGGATGATGCCATTGATGATGGTCCTGATCGTGAAGACGCGCAGAACCACGGCAATGCTGGGGAGGCTGCGCCTACGGGGGAAGCCGTTGACGATGACCAGGCAGAAGCAGCACAGCAAAAGACCAGAAGACCTGCAGAAGGACCAGCTGGGCAAAGAACGTCTCAGGAGACGATTGGCGCCGACGAGGCCTGCAGCGGGATCTCTTTGTTTTCATGATAGGCCACGGAGGGATCCGAAACCGGAATAGGGTTCAGAAGTACCAGAAGTCCACTGAGCGGGATCAGGAAAGTGCGCCAGCTGCTGCTCCAGCTCGTTCCAAGGCAAGGGTTGACCTGTGCTTGTAGCCAGCAAGCGAAGCTGTGTTTAGTAAAGACTTGTCTTGAACAACCCCGGTGAAGCACGAGCGGATGCTACTTGTAACGGTTGCACACTACGCAATTACGCGGGACTCGTGTCAGCCTGCAGGACTTTGGGTTCTAGGGGTATGTTTCCACTCTAAGCTAGGCAAGAGCACTGTGAAGGCTGCATCTTGCACAGTGGTGTGGCTACTGCCTGCAGGCAGCACCGAAAGGAACAGTGAAGATGTCGCACGCCACTTGCTCAGATGTTGGTGGATTGTGATCTTGTGGCACGCTTTCAAGCATGGATGCTCCTGCTCGTTTTTGCTGCAACATTTTCTTTTGCACTTCTTTGCTGAGAGTGAAGCGGTCAATCCAATCTCAAAACCTAGTCAGCAGCAGCTGCCAAATTGTGGGATCAGCACTCGATGATGGCACATTCAGTTGATGAGGCACTTGTCGTCACTGGATTTCCTCTCTGGGATCTGCAACAGATCACCCAGTGCGCCCACAG